AACGGGAGGACACACACAACTAATCGGCTCGATTGCAAAAGCAGTGCCGTGTTGTACAGCAGAGCCCGGCCCTGAGGGTGGGAGCCGGGGGCAGCGGGAAGGGCCGGGGAGCTGCGCCGGCCGGGCCCCGCGCGCTCCTGTCCCGGGTGCTCCCAAGCTCCCCTCGCACCGCCGCTGCCTCCGCGGCCCCTGCCCTCCGCCCTTCCTCCCTGCAGCTGCAGGGGTACGCTGGCCGGGTGCCGGGGGGACACACCGGTGGATGCCGTGATTTGCCCCCTTTTTTTTGGATTGTGTTTAAAAGGGAGAGACCAACCGCAAAGCACCTCCCGTCCCTGCCTTTGACGTGCATCACAGCACAACATTAAAACAACATGGAACAAGTGCTGCGAGCGGGCGCGGGGCGCTGCCTGCTCCTGCCCGCCGCTGCCTGCTCCTGCCGGCAGGGCCGTGACGTCACCCCGCTCCTCGCCCACCGCTGAACGCTAAAGACCTATAGAAAAGGGAGAGACCAACCGCAAAGCACCTCCCGTCCCTGCCTTTGACGTGCATCACAGCACAACATTAAAACAACATGGAACAAGTGCTGCGAGCGGGCGCGGGGCGCTGCCTGCTCCTGCCCGCCGCTGCCTGCTCCTGCCGGCAGGGCCGTGACGTCACCCCGCTCCTCGCCCACCGCTGAACGCTAAAGACCTATAGAGCAGAAAATAATACAACAAGCAGGCTCCGTATCTTGCATGCCCTACGTGATTTTCCCCCCCTCTTTGAAAAAGCCCCTTTGCGCTTAAACTCTCTATACATGTGGGGTGGCTTTTTAAACTCTCTCTATACAAACATATTTATTAAGAGCGATGGGAAGTGGGGGGTAGCCTATTTTTTTAATCCAGGCACCAACCCCCCCCCCCCCCCCCCAGATGTCTGGCTGCTTTTCTTAAGTGCAATCATCTATAATTGAGCGAAAAAAAAAAAAAGCCATACGTGGAAATGTGTGTGTGAGAAGGTGCATCTTGAAGCAGGGTTTAGTTACAATCGATCTTGGGGGGAAAATATTGCCTATGGTCCAAAAATAAGGAGCAACTATGTCCTTCTCTCAGTTCGGATACCCCTACAGCACCACTTCACAGGTAAGGCGAGTGAGCAGCACTCACTTTTGTTCAGATTCTGCTGCTGCTGTCCAGATGTCTTGTTCCCCCTCCCTTTTTTTCTTCCCTTTCCCTTACTTAGAGTCTTTTTTTAAAAGGGCACATCTGGAGCCTTTTTTTAAAAAATGTGCGTGTGTGTTTATGTCTCGTTTGTGTTGTGTTAGGCTTAAACAAATAACTCTCAGTGTGCACAGCAAAGGCGTTTAGGAAACCGGTAATTCCTCCCCCCCCCCCCCCCCCCCCTCTCTTTTAGACCAAAAAAAAAAAAAAAAAAAAGATTAAAGAAGATTAAATCTTTTTTTATTGATTTATGTTT